GTGCTTTTGCCTTGGGGGGTTTTTGTTGCGAATGGTTCGTGCTGACGCCCACCGAGAAAGCTCCTGAGAATACGGCTCAATATCACACTCCGATGCAACAGGCACATAACGAAAGTCGACACTGGATACCCACCAGCATCTCCCGCATCTTCAGCTGATTCCGTTTTTTTATTAAGAGAAGGGAAGAGAGAGAGGATCAAGTGGTGTGGACGGGCGCCCAGGATGATTACCGGCTTCTATTACGTATCGTGTTGTATCTTTCAGGCTCTATTATGGGTGAACTCTGGCAACGGCAGGCGGCAAGGGCGTGGCGTTTCGCGAGTATTGCTTGAGATTGTACTTTCCCCCCTTTTTTATTCTTTTCTTTTTCTTTTTCTTTTGCTTTTGCTTTCACACCAGGTTTGTAGTCCGGTGCTTAGGTATGACGCCAATGGGATATCAAAGCGTGGCCCGCCAGTCTCCATCAATACGAATTGTACTTATCAAGATCAAGTTTGCCTCTTAATGCGGAGGATATTAGAGGATACCTGTGATGCTATCTCGCAGACTTGGTTGCGAATGGGCAGCTCCTCCAAAGTTATGCAATCTTGCGCTGAGATTCCGTGACGGCCTCTCGTCTGCTCGCAACACCTTAGGAGGCTCCTGGTTTCCTGCACAGCCATACGGTGGACATTATTCCTTTTTCCATTCCTCAAACTCAACGTCCAGGTGCGCTTTGAGCTGTTGAAACTGATTCTTAAAGTTCTTTTTACACCTCCAGCAGATGAAGTCCTTCTTCAGGTACCCCTCGCGTCCGGGGTGTAATCGAGGGTCATTGCCGGCGAGGGGGAAATCTTCCACGTCTATGAGGAACGGAGTGTTGAAGGAGTTATAGTGCTTGCGGTGCTTGACGCAGTTGGAGTGCATGTCGCGCGAGAAGACGTGGATGTGGAGGTGATTCATGCTCGGATGGGCGTGTATGCCGGCCCTGACCTCGGAAGCCCAATCCCGGCCGGGAGGCAGGCCGCCACCGTCGACGTCTTCGTCTGGTTCGGCGTCGCCGTTGAGCACCGCCTCGCGCAGCGCATCGGTAGCGCTTTCCTGGCCGAACCGACGACGAAGCTCGGTTGCGACGAGGTCCCGGAGTTTGCGGGTCTCCTGCTGTACCGAAGCGAGGAATTCCGGGTCTTGGAAGGCCTCGAACGGGTGCAGCAGGTTGTGCTTGGGCGACCGCGGGAGCAGTAGGGTGTGGACACTCGATTTAGGATAGAGGTCGTGGATCGCCACGAAGTCGTCGTTGTAGTATATCACGCGCGAGGAAGGGTGGGAGGCGGGGTTCTCTAGGTAGAGGCCCAGACCATCCCGGATGGAACTGAAGCGAGAGGACCGGGAAGACGAGGTTGACGCGACCGGCTTTTCAGCTTTCGGCTTGGGTTTCATCAACTCCGAAACTAGTTATGTCGAGAGGGAGCCGGGTCAGCAGCGCCCAGGGTATCGCCTAACTAGGGAGCGAAATTGCTCACAGGCGTTGAGCTTCTTGCTTTCCGGAGCTGCGGCCTGAATCTCCTCGGCTGTCATGGCTTCATCGGAATCTGACCCCGGGCTCATCGTGATTCGTGACTGCGTCTCTCCGACAATTCTGTGTGAATTGCTAAGACCTTATGTGAAGGTGCAGGTTGTATCCGTATAAGTTCTCCAGGTTTCATTTCCTTCCATGTGGACCTTCCCCTTTGCGCCGCTGAGTAGGGAGACATCCGCACGTCGACGACACCTTATCCGATGGTTTCTTAATCGGGATGGAAGAAAAGAGGAGGAGGTTGAGGGAAACACCAGGCAGCTAAAGGTCCACAGGGATGACGAAATAATGGCCGAGTCGTGGAGCTTTGCGGGGCGTTCCTTGACAGTGGAGCTGTTGTAACGCTCTACGGCTCGTACAGTATTTTGGTAAGGTAAGGTACGCAGAACGCTAGGTACCTTGCACATGGTACCTTCAGTTAGGTACTCTCGCCTCAAAAATCTACCTAGGTACCTAAGGTACCTATCAATACTGCGTACACACGTACCAGAACCCCACTATCCCAAGTCAAGGTCCACCCCGGAGCGAGATTTCAAACGTTGACGATCAAATTGATGCAGCTTGCCATGAATCAGGCCCCTCGAGCGGTACCATATTCTCTTCCACGACCGACCGCGACTCTCCCAACAGAAGTTATGGCTTGTTTGCGAAGCCGAACCGATTAAATTTGAGCAAGCCAGCCTCAAGATGGCCAAGAAAGGCAAGGAAAAGGCGACCGCTCCCGCTCCCGCCCCGGCGCCAGCTTCACAGTCCGCAGCTGGGAAGACGAAAAATGGACCCAAAGACAGCAAGAAGGGCGCTGCCCCTTCCCCCATGGAACAGGCTGCTGGCCCTGTAGCCGGGCCTCCTAAGCCTACGGTGAAACAGATCATCGGAGGCTCCTCGTGGACCGGCAAACTCCCCGTCAATCTCCTCAACGAGCACTGCCAGAAGCAACAATGGGAGAAGCCAGAATATGATATGCGCAGGACGCCTGAGGGGTACTCGTGTCTTATTACTCTGAGCGCAAAGGATCCCAAAACCCACGAGATGACGAGGCTAGACCCTTTCAAAATCCCGGCAGAGTACAAGCATCTGCTCACCAAACCCACCGCCTTGGAAGCGAGGCACTGCGCCGCCACCTACGGTCTTTTCCGCGTTTGCAGCATGCAAAACAAACACACGGTGCTGCCTCCGGATTACAAGTCCCTATGGAAAGAGTTCCAGGCTCTCAAGCAAAAGGATCTCAAGGAAGACAAAGCCTGGATGTACGATGCCGATCCGTTCAAGACGCTCCGAGATCGACAGGATGCCAAGGCGGCTCTCGAGAAGAAGAGAAAAGAGATGGAGAGGATAAGAGAAAAGGCCAAAGCCATGCCCGGTGCCGCAGGCCTTTCTTTTGTTGGAACATCCAAAGCTGGCGTCTCGAACCCCATGAAGGGATGGACGAACATTCCGAAGATCGAGATGGGCAAGAAGTCCAGGGCCCAGGTCGAGGCCTTGATCCAGAGCCGCGTCATTTGGAACCCCAACCAGGTCCGAATGTCGGATGCGCAGCGGCAGGTTGTCGTCGCTGACCTGTCAAAACTCGGCTTTCGGCGGAGTCATGTCGAAGAGGCGGCGGACATTTGCAAGGACCGCGAGGAGACGCTCGAGTGGCTGCTGATCCACGTTCCTGAGGACGACATGCCGCGGTGGGCTCTCCCCGAGAGTTATTCCGCAGGGATCACGGTGGGCGCCATGGATCTGAAGAAAGAGACGGCCATCAAGCGTCTGTCTGAGTCTGGATACGCGCTAGATCTCTGCGCGCGCGTTTACGAGGCATGCGGGTGTGATGAAGGCCGAGCCGCCGAGGCGCTCCAGCAGCGCCTGATGGGGTCAGATGCCGGCGACCACCCTGCCATCACAGCCTCCGACCTCGTTCCCTCTGGGATGACTGCTGAAGAGCTTTGGGAGGACGAAGTTGGGGCCCTGGAATCGTTCTTCGGCGGTCAGTTCACAAGGAAATCCACCGACGTCATCCAAGTGAAGCTCGAGTCTGTTGCGAACGGGCACCAGAGAGACGTCGAAGTCCTTATCCAAGTACGAAAATCGCCTAACTATCCAGCCCAGCTAGTGATTTCTGTGCTTGCCCAGCTCCCAGCCCAGGTGAAACTCTCTATTACCAAGCTGGTCCTTGCGTTCATTGCCGAATCCTACTCCGAGGAACCGATGAAGGTCTTCGTGGCAATCGACTGGATCCAGCAAAACATCAATTCCGTCGTGGAGAATCCCGGGAAACTCGTCGAAGTTTCCTCGGTCAGTTCTACCGCGTCTGAAGCTCCGGGTACCCTACATCCCAGGCCGCCAGCCGCGAAGTTTTCCAAGCACCCCAGGCCCACTCGCTGGGTATCTGACGCCCGAAGCCGGGAGGAATGGCTCAGGAGACAGGGGTCTCCCAAATGGAAGGAGATGATGTCGAAACGCCAGCAGCTCCCAGCTTGGCAGGCGCGGGAGACGATCATCGAGGCTGTTGCCAAGAACCATGTGACCATCATCAGCGGCGAGACGGGTTCTGGCAAGTCGACGCAGTCGATGCAGTTCGTCCTAGACGATCTTTACAGCCAAGGACTCGGGTCATGTGCGAAAATGTTCGTCACCCAACCGAGACGTATCTCAGCACTGGGTCTTGCGGATCGCGTCGCGGAAGAGCGGTGCTCCCCCGTTGGGCAGGAAGTGGGTTACGCCATCCGAGGCGAGAGCCGGGTGTCTCAGCAGACCCGTATCACTTTTGTGACGACCGGCGTTCTCTTGCGTCGACTGCAGACTTCGGGGGGGAGGGTCGAGGATGTAGCGGCCTCTTTGGCCGATGTCAGCCATATCGTCATCGATGAGGTACACGAACGCAGCCTGGATACGGACTTTCTCCTCACGATTCTCAGGGAGGTCATGAAGACCCGGAAAGATCTTTTGAGGCTGGTCCTGATGAGCGCTACACTGGACGCCGGCTCGTTCAAGGAGTACTTTGTCTCTCAAGGTCTCCATGTAGGCCTCGTCGAGATCCCAGGACGAACCTTTCCTGTAGAGGACTTCTACCTCGACGACATCGTCAGCATGACGGGCTTCCGCTCCTATACAGACGATGTGCAGGGGGAGACAATGGGGAAAACGATCCAAAGCCTCGGCCATCGCATCAACTATGATCTCTTAACGGAAACGATCGTCACCATTGACTTGGAGCTGTCATACGCTGAGAAGACTGGCGGTATACTTGTGTTCCTCCCGGGGGTCGCCGAGATCAATCAGACATGCAGGGCGTTGTCGGGCCATTCATCGCTCTATGTCCTTCCCCTCCATGCTTCGCTCGAGACGAAGGAACAGAAGCGCGTCTTCGGCAGGGCCCCTCCGGGCAAGAGGAAAGTGGTTGTGGCCACCAACGTGGCCGAGACGTCCATTACCATCGACGATATTGTGGCGGTGGTGGACTCTGGCAAGGTGAAGCAGACCACGTTCGACCCTCAAAACAACATGCGGAAACTCGAGGAGATGTGGGCATCTAGGGCGGCTTGCAAGCAGAGACGGGGACGCGCGGGCCGGATCCAGGCCGGAAAGTGCTACAAGCTCTTCACGCGCAGGCTCGAGCAGCAAATGGCCGAGCGGCCGGAGCCGGAGATCCGACGGGTGCCGCTGGAGCAAATGTGCCTGTCGGTGCGGGCCATGGGGGTGCGAGACGTCGCGTCCTTCCTCGCGCGGTCTCCGACGCCCCCCGAGAGCACGGCGGTGGAAGGCGCCATGAGGCTTCTGGGGCGGATGGGCGCACTCGATGGCGACGAGCTCACGGCGCTGGGCCAGCAGCTGGCCATGATACCGGCGGACCTGCGGTGCGGGAAGCTCATGGTGTACGGGGCCATCTTCGGGTGCCTGGACGACAGCGTGACGGTCTCGGCCATCCTGAGCACCAAGAGCCCGTTCGTCTCCCCGCCGGACAAGCGCGACCTGGCCAAGGAGGCGCGGATGCGGTTCGACCAGGGCGACGGCGACCTGCTGACCGACCTCGCGGCGTACAAGGAATGGGCGGCGATGCGGGCGGACGGCGCGGCGCCCCGGAGCCTGCGGGCGTTTTGCGACGACAACTTCCTGTCGTTCCTGACGCTGTCGGATATCGCGGCGACGAGGACGCAGTATTACGCGGCGCTGGGGGAGATTGGCATCGTGTCGCCGAGGGAGGCGGGGGCCTCGGCCGACAGGAGACGCCAGCACCAGCACCAGCACCAGCACCAGCACCAGCAAGACGGCGCGGCCTATGCGACGCGGACTATGCTGCGGGCGCTCACGGCGTCGGCGTTCAGTCCGCAGATTGCGCGGATCCAGTTCCCGGAAAAGAAGTTTGTGAATTCCGTTTCCGGTGCGGTGGAGCTGGACCCCGAGGCGCGGATGATCAAGTACTTCACGCAAGAACAGGGACGGGTGTTTGTGCACCCCAGCAGCACGGTGTTTGACAGCCAGGGGTTCTCTGGGAACGCGGCCTTTATGTCTTACTTTAGCATGATTTCGACGAGCAAGACGTTTATTCGAGATTTGACACGTGAGTTTCTGACGCAGGCTCTCCCCATACCCATGCTTGTTCAAAAATATTTTATTGTTAAAAACAAAACAATAAAAAAAGGAAAAAAACTGACAAAATGGACATCAGCTTTCAACGCGTACACGCTGCTCTTGTTCTCTGGAGCGATCGAGCTGGATACCATGGGCCGGGGGCTGGTCGTCGACGGGTGGCTACGGCTCCGAGGCTGGGCCAGGCTGGGCGTACTGGTTTCGAGGCTACGAGGGATGGTGGACGACGTGATTCGACTCAAGGTGGAGAATCCCGGCCTGGATCTCCGGGATAACAAAGTGATTCGGACCGTTGCGAGACTTATTGAACTCGACGGGCTGGACGCATGATCGGAACAGTCCAAGTTGCTTTGGAGGGACACTGCCCGATATCTTGTTTACGCGGATGGAGAATCATGAGCGGAGCATATACCTGCTGAACCCAGCCCTGCTCAAACCCAGTATCAGACGAGTGTGCGGATAACATCGGGGACTTTGCGCATCTGTAGACATGGTGGTCTTTTGACTCCTGCTGCTGCTCCCGTGCGGAAACAGCAAAGGCCGCTGCTTCTTGAGCAACGTCCCAGAGGTCAGGTGCCGTGCTGTGGGAGTGGCATACAATAGAAGCCTTACAGAGCAGGAACCAATCTTCGAGGTTCAGTTGTTGCAGGCTGTGGAGGAGGCAAAATAGGGGCCAGGGGGGCGAGGCGGGCGAGGCGGAACCCGTTCGGGGCAGGGAAAGGAAAAGGCTTGACTGACGTGCAACGTTGCACGGAAGGCGCAGGTGGGAGAAATAAAAACTAGAATAAAAGATGAAGGACGACACTTGGAGGCACTCGATAAATAAGGGACCCATGCGTCCTGTCGGATATTCTTGGCAAGTTGGGGGTTGTGCGCGGGGACGGGGGCGGAGATAGGGATGGAGACGGGGGAGTAAGGTATAGATGGGACCCGGGGGGGCGGAAACTGTGCAGGGTGCTACATGACATACATCGTGACATGTATCCGTACCATGTAATACCCCCTAAGGTACCTTGGAGTGAACATTGGAGATAACGAAGCGAATATAGATATTGTAACAAGTAACATTCACGTGCCAACGAACAGGAGGATCCAAGTGACCCAGGGGATCGGTGGCCAACTCGGCGCTTGGCTTTGGTGTGTGTACACTTATCTGCAACCTTGAGAAGAAAAGAAGAAGAAAAAAAAGAAAGAAAAGAACCAGCGATGTGTGGTAGTATTTCTTGTTGGGTTCTTCCTGAATAAACGGCAGTCATGTGCCGTCCGGTAGATGGGATGAGGGGTGCGTGCGGGTGTGGCCGAGGAAGTGGCAGGATATTAACGTTAAAAAATGGGGACAAGTCCGAATCTACAACTGTACACGTACCTTAGACTTCAAACGGATGAGATCAAAGAAGACAAAAATAGAGTAGTACAGATTATTAGTCGACAGGTTTTACTCCCATGATTCTGTCGAGGCCGGCTTGGCATGCGAGAACTGATTTGATTGCTGGATCACGACGCACTTTGTATTACCGACCTCGACATCTCAGTCATGTTAAGCATGGATTTATTTTATCCCATTTTGTCTGCGAACTGGTGATCATAACTTACACAGAAGGGGAAGAACCTAGAGAAGAAGATGAAGGGGAGTGGTATTCGGCCGCTACTCGGGGATTCCACGCCCTCCCTTCAGTACCTACCTTACCTACCTTAGGTACTGTATCCGTACGTTGTATACCGCACGATGCTCCTTGGAACAAGAGTTTGGGACAATTCTTTGCACCTGCATTATTTCGATTTTGAATCGCTTCAAGTCACCAGTTACAACTTGGGGGAAACGATGTACAACGTACCTTACGAAGTAGTCCGATCCAGACCCCAAGTTGCTTCCTAGGGGAGTAGTGACCCTTCCCCTTTTCTCCCACCACCTTAGAGGCCATTAGATGGACAGACAGTCTTCGATAGGCATGAGACTCGTCTCACTCTTCGTCTCACTCTTCTTTTTTCCATTCCTTTGGACTTCAACGGACAGGACCGCATTTCCCATTTTACTACAAATAATACAACAACACCATGACAAGCGAGTCTGTCTGTCTACCTTAGGCACGCGCCATGCGTGTGTCTCAATTTCCACATCCGCATTCCATGGAACGTCGCAATTTGCGCCTAGACCCCGTCTTCGAGTCGTAGGGCAGAGACAGACTCCCCGTACGCCCACGCCAGGGTACAGGAATGTACGCCACGCCAGGGTAGTGTACAGGAATGTAAGGGGGGCCCACGAGGAAACAGGGAACATTCTGGACGAATACCTTGGGCGCGAGTGTGCGGAGGAGAGAGGGGAGATAGGGGAGAGAGAGGGGAGAGAAAACGCGCAGAAAATGGTTCATCTCTTCCCCCCCCCCCCCCCTCTCTCTCCAACCTCTCTCCAATGTTGGTCGTCTGTCAACCCCCCCGTCCACTCCCCATTAGGGGCGCGGAATAGTTTCCTTTTTCTTGAATACTGCTTAGCTGACCGGCCCAGTAACCCCTTTGGGACCGTGTTCGCGAACTAATGGTAACGTTCCTGCCAGTGGCCCGCTGAACCATCGACGTACGTGCTCTTTGGGCGCATCTTCACGATGGCAGGCCAGGGCTATCTTGCTAGTGACACGATACCATACCTCATGACCAGCCAAGGGGGTGAAGAAGGAATGATGGAAGAGAAAACGGAGGACGGAAAACGGAACAGGAGCCAGAAGCCCGACCACAATGTGTTTGAATAAAATGTATATAACATTCAGATGCGACGATGCTTGTGTCATGGTGTGCGATCGTCCATCTCAGCGATAGCTTTAACAGCAGTCACTCCCTAAGACATACAACCGTATTACCCCCAGCTCATTCATTCCCTTTGGCGGTGATACCGCTCCTCAGCCCTTTCCCCGAGAGTCAAGGCCAGCAATATTGCCGCATCTTTCGCCATGTTTGCTCGTTCGCTGGTCGCTCTTTTGTCCCTGATTGCTGGGCTGTCGGGTGCCTCCCCAGTCAACATCACGGAATACCCTGCACAGGCTGCAAGCGGGTACCAGAATGCAGTCTACTTCACCAACTGGTGAGTGCGATGACCCCCCTCTTGTTTATACGAACGAAAGCTACACTGTCTCGGGTCCGCGATGCTAACAAGGGCGACCCATCTAGGGCTGTCTACGGTCGTAATTATCATCCTCAGGACCTTCCTGCGTCCCAACTCACCCATATTCTCTACGCATTTTTGAATCTTCGACCGAATGGAGAAGTGTAGGTTCCATACGATAAAGGAGACGAAAGAGAAGAAAAAAAGAGAAGAAAAAAAGAGAAGAAAAAAAGAGAAGAAAAAAAGAAGGAAGGAAAAAAGAAGGAAGGAAAAAAGAAGAAGAGAAAGCTCACATTTGTGTACCTTAGTTTCTCGGGAGACACTTATGCCGATCTTGAGAGACGATACCCGACCGACAGTATGTCCCCCACGACTCCAATGAACCAGCCCACTTCCTACCTTGTGAGTTCGCTGACAGGACATAAAAACTCCCGTTAGGCTGGAACGACATTGGAACCAACGCCTACGGCGCCATAAAGCAGCTCTACCTCCGCAAAAAGGCCAACCGCCGCCTCAAGACGCTGCTAAGCATCGGCGGCTGGACCTGGTCCACCAACTTCCCCGCGGCGGCCAGCACGCCCCAAACAAGGGCGACCTTCGCGCGCACGGCGGTCGGGCTCATGAAGGACTGGGGCTTCGACGGCATCGACGTCGACTGGGAATACCCCGCCAACGACGCCGAGGCGGCAAACCAGGTACTGCTGCTCCAAGCGGTGCGCGACGAGCTGGACCGGTACGCGGCGTCGCACGCGCCGGGGTACCACTTGCTCCTGACCATCGCGTCGCCCGCGGGGCCGCTGCACTACAACCGCATGCGGCTCGCGGAGCTGGCGCGCGTCATCGACAACTTCTACCTCATGGCCTACGACTTCGCCGGGTCCTGGGACGCCGTGAGCGGCCACCAGGCCAACCTGTACCCGAACCCTCAGAACCCGGCCGCGACGCCCTTCTCGGCCGACGGCGCCGTGAGGGGCTACCTCGACGCCGGGGTGCCCGCTGCCGGCATCGTGCTGGGTATGCCCATCTACGGGAGGGACTTTCGCAACACGGACGGCCCCGGCAGGCCGTACCAGGGCGTCGGGCAGGGCTCGTGGGAGGCGGGCGTGTGGGACTACAAGGACCTGCCGCGGCCGGGGGCGGCGGTATCGTTTGACCCCGTGGCGCAGGCGTCGTATAGCTACGACAGCGCCAACCGGCACCTCGTGTCCTACGACACGCCCGCCGTCGTCAGGTCCAAGGTGTCGTATCTCCGCCAGAGGGGGCTCTCGGGGTCCATGTTCTGGGAGGCCAGCGGTGACCGGACCGGGGCCGAGAGCTTGCTCCAGACGAGCTTCGAGGCGCTCGGTGGGGCGGGAGGTCAGGATTCGACGCTGAACCTTCTGAGCTATCCGGATAGCCGGTACGACAACATTCGGAATGGCATGGAGCCGGCGAGGAAATGTTGAGGAGGGCGGGGTTTCGCATGAGAAGGGTTCAGGACTGGTATATATATGTTCGAGTTAGCTTTCCATGGAGGTTAGCATGTGCTGGGTACAATTTTTCTCTTGTTTTTCTTTTCTTTTGGACACTTGGGGTGGTTTCCCCATGATTTCATTTTCCGACGCATCCCACGATGGTCTTTATGTATGGAACAACTTTCAACAGACGAGGACACGCGTCTACGTCAGCAATAGAGGGACTTTTGAGCCTTTGATGTCGCGGTTTCGTGTTGTGGGTCGCGCATAAAGTACGAATATACTCCGAAACCGTTGTACGCTGTAATTAAACCCTAGAGCACGTTGGTCATCGTGGCTGCAGCGTCCACACGACACACCTTATCCGGTGGCACATCACTCACTACGTTGTACGTTGTACCCTTATTTCGTTTAAACGGGCCTATTGTAACGCATGCAATGATAAGGTTCGGAGTTTAGTGCGCCGACGGCTCGGTATTCGGTTGCTCCAAACTCTACGGAATACAGTACATTGTAGCTACGTCTAAGGAGGATTATATTCGTATAGATCCCGGGATTTCCCTCACCGAGGGCTAGAGAGCAATAAAAGGGCCTTCTTATAAGGTACCGTGGTAGTGTGAGAAGAAGGAGCGGGGACCAAAAAAATAGACGAACAAAAAAAATAACTCGGAAGATCGTCACTGGAAGAATACATGAAATAATATGAAATCAAAAGTGTGCGACTAATAATGACCGATTTCGGCTTGTCATCTCAATTCCCCCAAGACGATGACTCGGCCACATTGGCTGACCGACTCATGGTAAAATTCGCCCTTTTCCTTGGCCCCGTCTCTAGTTCTCTGGCTCTCTTCCGATTTATTGTCTTGCTCCGCAACGCTCCGGCGTTACAGGCCTCCCGCACTGCTCGCATTTCTCGCATTTCCTTCGCTAGGGGGGGATGAGAAGCCGCGCCTACCGAAGCTGCAAGTGGGCTGTCGCGTCGGGTTGGTGGGTTTGAGCGGGGGGCGCATCGCGCGCATCGGGCGGGTTGCATGTAAGTGTATGTACAAAGGTGAAGTACAACGTACGTTGTAACGATTTCAATACGTTGGCGTGGGCGGGATTTAATTGTCCTGGGAACATCCATGATACTGCCCACTTGAACGACTGCATCGACTCGACTGCAGCGACTGCAGCGACGTGCAGGCCCGAGAACCCTGGAACATCGCGTGCCCCCCATCCCCTTTTACCCACACTCTTGCCTGTTGTGGAAGATGAGGCCCTGGACCCCTGGTCGAACCCAATCGGCAAATCGACCCGCGGGACTGGCGCATCTTATTTCTTCTTAGTCGCGACTTTTTGTCGACGTCACTTTTGGAGCTTGGTCATTGGCTCAAAGTATTCAAGTTGTCTAAAGGTTCCTTTGCGGGCTATTTGGCTTGACGATAAGGTAGTTGAATATTCGATAAGATAGGAGAATTGGTCAACGACTTTTATTCGCTCCAAGCTGCGCCGCCTTTTTCTTGTCGCTTCCCCCATGCCCGCCATCCAACCG